AACTTCACATATTTATCAGCTACAGTGTAGTATTTGAATACATTTATTTCCTGAGCAGATCATGTTAGTTAGCATTTCTAGCTCCTTATTTATGTTTGGAGCCTTTAGGAATTTCTCTTCTAGTTCTTCATAAAATTTGTAAGTTTTTATGTGAACTGTAGTTCTGTGCTATAGAATTTTAGAACCTATTACTTCTATCTGCGTTTTGCTGCCTATTTATCAGTCTGCCTCTATTTCTTCCATACTTCTCATATTCACTATTTTTAACTTCCACATATGAGAAACAATATGTGGTATCTATTTTTCTGTACCTGGTTTATTTCACTAATATATCCTCCAGTTCCATCAACTTTTCTGCAAATAACAGGATTTCAATCTTCTTTGTGACTGAATAACATTCTATTGTACATGTAGACCACATTTTCTTTACTATTCATCCATTGATGGGTACCTAGGTTGACTCCATATCACTATTGTTATGCTGCAATGAACATGGGTGTGCAGGTATCTCTTTGGTATGTTGATTTCATTTGCTTTGGATATATATACATAGACCCAAAATAGCCAGATTATATTATAGGTTTTAGTTTGTTGAGGAACTTCCATACTATTCTCATGATGACTGTTTTTGTATTTCCACCAACAGTGGATGAGTTCCCCCTTTCCACATCCTCACCAGCATTTGATATTTGTCTTTTTAATAATAGCCATTCAATCAAGGGTGAGATACTGTGTCATCATGGTTTTGATTTCATTTCCCTGATGACTAATGATACTGACCATTTTCATATATTTGTTGACCATTTATATTTCTTTTGAGATATATTCAGTTCATTTGCCAATTCAATTCAAAATTTGATTTTTTTTTTTTTGATAGGCAGAGTGGACAGTGAGAGAGAGAGACAGAGAGAAAGGTCTTCCTTTGCCGTTGGTTCACCCTCCAATGGCCCCCGGCGCACCGCGCTGATCCAATGGCAGGAGCCAGGTACTTCTCCTGGTCTCCCATGGGGTGCAGGGCCCAAGCACTTGGGCCATCCTCCACTGCACTCCCGGGCCACAGCAGAGAGCTGGCCTGGAAGAGGGCAACCGGGACAGAATCTGGTGCCCCGACCGGGACTAGAACCCGATGTGCTGGAACCGCAAGGCGGAGGATTAGCCTAGTGAGCCACGGCACTGGCTTGTCTGAGTTCCTTAAATATTCTGAATCATTTGCTAGATGAGTAGTTTCAAACTATTTTTCCCCATTCTGTAGTTTGTCCCTTCACTCTGTTAGTTGTTTCCTTTACTGCAAAGAAACTTCTTATATTCATATAATTCATTTAGTCTTTTATTCCATTGTCCATAAAATCATTGCCTAAACTGACATCTTGTAGTGTTTCCCCGAAGTTTTCTTCTGTAGTTTCTTTGTTTCAGGTTTTGTATGTGGGTCTCTGATCCATTTTGAGCTGACTTTTGTATAGGGTGAGAAGTAGGGTCAAGTTGCAAGCTTCTGCATTTGGATATCCAGTTTCCCAGAACCATTTATTGAAGTAGCCTTTTCTCTACTGTATATTTTTGGTGCTCTTGACAGGAAACAATTGGCTGTAGATGTCTAAGTTTATTTTGGGAATCTCTTTTTTTCCTTTTCTCTATGAGCCTGTTTTTATGTCAGTACCACGCTGTTTTGGTTACTACGACTCTATATTATGTCTTAAATTGGGTATTGTAATACCTCTAGCTTTGTTATTTAGGTCCAAGATTACTTTTGTTTTGGTGGGTATTTTCCATATGAAACTGAGGACTTTTTTCTATCTCTGTCAAGAATGTCATTGGTATTTTGAAGGACAGTGCATTGAATCTGCAAATTGCTTTGGGTAATATGGTCATTTTAATAGTATTAATTCCTCCAATCCATGAACAAAGAAGGCCTTTGTGTCTTCAATTTCTCACATAAGTGTTTTGTAATTTTCATTGTGGAGGCCTTTCACTTTCTTGGTTAAATTTATTCCTAGGTATTTTATTGTTTTTGTAGTTAGTGTGAAGGGAGGATTAGTTTCATGATTTCCTTTTCAACAAGCCATAAAAATACCACTGATCTTCATGCTGCATCCTGACACTTTACTAATTTATTTAAATTTATTCATTCCAATAGTCTTTTGGTGGAATCTTTATATATATATTTGCAGAATTATATAATTTGCAAACAAAAGAAATATACACTTTATTAATTAATGTAATTTTTCCATCTTATTAAGGGCAACTTTTAATTTTAGGCATTTAAAAATAATTATTATATATTTATATTAAATATTAACCAATGTAGTCTTTTTCAAACATACACAAGCATGTAAAATGTATATACTAATATAGCATCTTTGTGTAGTTGTCAGGCAATAAAAATAATTTTAATATTTTCACTAACATTTTAAAATAAATGAAATAAGGGGAATATGTTGATAAGATATTTTGTTCATTCATGCTAAATTAAATTAAAATATAAGCAGTTAAACATATATAAGAACATTTAAAATGTACCTCATATACATTAGAACACATCAGTTCCAGTTTCTGTCATGAAATATTCATCAAGTTTCCATTTTTGAATGTATGCAATCAAGTCCTCATATCCAATACTGACAAAAATACAAAACTGTATCACAATGCAGATGGGAAGACTAACACTTTAATAAAAGTAACAGCACAGATAAGTGAGGTACAATCATCACCATGGCCAAAGGCTCTGGGACCCAGAGTAGCCTGGAGGCTGTTGGTATAAGGGTGTTGAGGGAGGCAGAGAGGGCCAAAGAGAATGGGAATCAGAAATAGAATGTCTATTAAGAGAATATATTCTCTCTAGTACGAAAATATAAGAAAATGTTTTCCCATTGTCCAGATGTAGAATTTAGGAAGAGAGGGAATATGTGAATAGATCCACTAGTGATGCAGCAGAACACAGGGACACCATATTTAATCAGCTATCACACACTATTTGTTTATATGCCACAGGGAAGCTATTAAAAATCTAAACCTTGTCACCTTGGAACAAATCATTGATGTATTGCTTACAGGTTAAGGATGAATTGTTCCTTATCCTTAAGGTTTCTCTGAAATTGACTGTGTATGAAGTGAGACTAATATGTTTCTTTTTTTTTTATTTGACAGGTAGAGTTACAGACAGTGAGAGAGAGAGAGAGAGAGAGACAGAGAGAAAGGTCTTCCTGGAGTGCCGGCACCGCAGGCAGAGGATTAGCCTAGTGAGCCGTGGTGCCGGCCAAGTTTCTTTTATTAACACATTAAATATATATCCTCAGGTTATTTATTCATTTAATGATGGGAATAACTTCAATAACTATAGTGTATTTATATTTATAAATAATTCATATTAAAACTTAGTTCATTATATTATCTTCCAAACTACTGTCACTTTTTTTTTTTTTTTTTGACAGGCAGAGTTAGATAGTCAGAGAGAGAGACACAGGATTAGCCTAGTGAGCCGCGGCGCTGGCCTCAATTCTGCTCTTTTGAAAACCTTTCTGGAGTTGCACTGAGTTTCTATCCTTTGCAATGAAAACAGCTTGAATTCAAAATTCCCTCCCTTAGGCAGGTTCAGTGGTAGTGGTGAGAAGGAATTCAGGAACAGAGTCTAAATTAGGGGAGAACATTCCATACTATTACCTTCTTTATTGCCCCAATTCGATTTGTAGATGAGCACATCTAAACACCGACTTAGTTTTTGACATCCAATACCTGATGAGACTCCCTTAGCAATGAGGGTCTCTTATTTGCTGAGAAGGGGGTGAGGAATCCAGACTTAGTTCACAGGGAGGATTTCCTCATCAGCTCCTGGATGTTGAGAGGACTGTGAAAGAATCCTCACATTCTTGTTCATAATCTTAAGTCCTGGCTACTATATAGGAAAGCAGTAGTCAGAAAAGTGAAATTTAAATTCTCTACATTTATATATCTACCTAGCCACCCACTCACCCACCCTCCCTCCTTCGCTTTCACACAGCCTTCCTTTTTCATCTACACTTCTCACCCACACGTATTTCCTTCCATACAGATTCTGAGGAATGATCACTATCATTCTTAGGAAGTTCAAAAATTCCTAGACATTTTAAAAAGATTTCTATATGGGGCCAGCGCTGTGGTGTAGCAGGTAAGATGCCACCTACAGTGCCAGCATCCCATATGGGCACCGGTTCAAGTCCCGGCTACTCCACTTGTGACCCAGCTCTCTGCCATGGCCTGGGAAAGCAGTAGAAGATGGCCCAAGTCCTTTGGGCCCTGTACCCACATGGGAAACCCATCAGAAGCTCCTGGCTTCGGGCTGGCTCAGCTCTAGCTGTTTTGGCCATTTGGGGAGTGAACCAAAAGGTAGAGGATCTCTCCCTCTCTCATTGCCTCTGCCTCTCTGTAACTCTGCCTTTCTGATAAATGAATCTTTTAAAAAAGGAATTATTTGACAAGTAGAGTGACACACAGTGAAAGACAGACAAAAAATCTTCCATCCACTGGCTCATTTCCCAAATGGTCCCAGTGGCTGGGGCTGGGCCAAGCCAAAGCCAGGAGGCTGGAACTCCATCCAGGTCTCGTAGATGGGTGGCAGATGCTTTAGCAAGAAGCTGGATCCGAAGCACAATAGCTGAAACATGAACCAGAATTCTGATATGGGATGCCAACATCACGAGGGGAGCTTAACCTGCTGGGCCACAATGCTGGTCCCTAGACTTTCTTCTTCCATAAACCAGGTAATCTTTCAGTTTCAGGATGTGTGCTGTAGGAGTAAATCTGTGGCCTATTTTACCTCAGATGACAAACTCAGTTTCACCAGGCAATTGCCCATGTGGATCACGGTTATGGGTTTTCACAGAAACAAATAATTAATAAGAAATGACAAATTTTTTTTCCACTCTGAGGACAGTGACACATTTTGAAGCTTGCATATTTTTAGGCCTAAATGAATGAACGTAGGCATAAGAATACAATTTTTGTTTTTTAGCATAAGACCACTACCGAAAACAAATTAAATAGTCATTTTAATGGTTGAAATTTCTATAATCTTTTACAGTTTGCAAAGCACAACTGCATATATGACATTCAATATTTACAACCTCTGATTACAGCACATTTGTATTTCAATAAGGAAGCTGAGTCTTCAGTAAATCAAACAGGCTAAGGTGGGATGTACTCTGTAAAGGTATGTGGGGGAAAAACTTGAGAATGAAACAAAGGTGAATCGCAGATTAAGTACCTGTATTACTCTCATACTGCTGTAATTAACAATTACCATAAAATTAGTGGCTTAACAAAACAATGTTTGTTTTGTAGGTTAGAAGTTGGGTAAGTCTCACTAGACCAAAATCAGTGTTGGCACACTGTGTTCCTTCTGAGAGGCTCTGTTTTCTGCTTATTTAGATTGTTGGCAGCATTCATTTCCTTGCGGTTATAGTTCTTCTTGGCTATAAAATGAGAGTTGTTTCCAGCTTTTAGAGGATACCCGTGTGCCTTAGATGGGATCTCCTACTGCCATCCTTACAACTTGCAATAATCTTGAGTCCTTGCATTGCATCTGGAAAAGGTTCTACACTTTTAAGGACTCTTACAATGGGTCCATCCACATAATCACACAATGCACCATACTCTCCCATCTTAATTATATCTGCAGACTATCTTTTGCCATGTAAGGTAAGACACAGATCCTGGAGCACAGCCTGTGGACATCTTTGGGGAGGGAGGTATAATTCTTCTCAAATGTAAGCTCACTGATTTCAAATTAATTAATTTAAGTGTAATCTCCCTTCATTCAACCCTTTCTCCTAAGGGGTCTTAAAATAGAGAAGAATCATAACAAACTGTAAGGATTAAGTCTGTACATAATGACTCCTAGAATTAAATTTCATAAGGCTAACATACCATTTTGTTTTAATAATTTATGTAATTTTCAAACTTTGAAATATTTTAAACATAGGTTAATAAACCAGGTGCATAAATAGATCTTAACATTTTTATTCCGCTACCTCATTTTTCTTTTTAAAAGAAACAAAATCTGTATCCTAACTCTCCTTCTTGCCTCCTCAAAGGTCATCATTATCCTAAAATCAGTGTTCATATATATATATTTTTTTTTTTTACTTTTTTACTTATTTGAAAGGGTGGATAGAGAGAGAACGGGAGATACCTCATTTGCCAGTTCACTCCCCAAATGCCTGTAATAGCTGAGAATGGGCAAAGCCAGGAGCCAGGACCTCAATCCCAGTGTCTCTCATGGATGTGTCAGAGACACAATTATTTGAACCATCATCTGCTATCTCCCAGGAAGTGCATGATCAGGGAGCTGGGATTCAAACCTAGGAAATCTGATATGATATGGACATCACAAGCAGTTTCTTAACCATTAAGCCAAATGGTGTCTCATCTATTTTCTAACTATGCAGGAAAAAAAATACATACATATATTATATGATTAGTTATTATTTTATGCATTTAAAATTTTTAATTAAGTAGTATACTATTATCAAACCTTTCTCAACTTGATTTATTCATGTTGATGCATATAGATTTATCATCTTAACAATTCTGTTTTGGATTACAAGGGTGTTTTAGTCAGCTAAGGCTGCCCTAACAAAATATCACAGACTGGGTGGTAGCTTAAACAGAGGCTTGTTGTGTCACACGTTGAGAGGTGGAAATGTGAGATCAGGCTGCCGGCACGGTCAGGTTAAAGGTGACAGTTCTCCTGACTTAGAGATGGTTGCCTTCTTGCTATGTCCTCACAGAGAGGAAAGGGCAGTTCTCTGGCATAAAGACACTAATCCTGTATCAGAGCCTCACCCTTATGACTCATTTAGCCTTTCTTACATGATTACAAGTGCACAATCCAGTCCATAATCAGGGGTTTTGATAACTGTGGATTTTCTCAATGAAGCTTGTGATGAGATCCTCAGCAGGGGCAAATACAAGGGAGGAGCAGGACAGGAGTGTGAAGGAGAACTTAGAATGGAATTATGAACTTACTGAAGAAATACTTGTGGGTCATTTAAGGTTAGTGCTCATGAGTTTAGAATGAAGTCTGCTCATTTGTGTCATTTTCTCCAGCTAGTTGCTCTGATCGAGGAACAAAAAAGCCCTTGAGTTCAACCAGGAACGGGTTTCAGGGAAGTGAGATTAACACAGGGATGCATAATGCTGCTGAGATTTTGTAGAATGGCTATTATGGTCCACAGCAGCACAGGAAGGACAGAGGCGAATGGAGAAAGAGGTAGTTGGTTATTCATTATTCATGATCTTTCCCAATATTTTTGGCTTAAAGCAAATATTTTACTCTGTTCACAATTTCATCATTAAGGAATCTGAGTTCAGCTGGTTGGTTGTCTCTAATGCATTTCATGCCATCTTGAGAAGCTGTGACTGGAGGCTCAGTTTCCAACACGGCTTTTTCACTCAAATGTCACATTCTTCAGAACTGCTCCACATGGCATGGGCCTTTGTTGCATGAACTTGCAGTAATCACATGTCTCACATGGCACCTAGATTTGCAAATGGGAGTGTTTCAAAGCTCTACTAAGGACTGAATTTGGAATTGGCAGTGCCACTTTTGCAGTATTCTACCTTTCAAAATCATCACAGAACCTTCCCAGAATAAGGGAGAGGAAATAACTCCACCTGTTGACCCAGGACAGCAAGGCCATACTGCAGAAGAGCTTACAGGAACATTCTTCCAGAAAGCTTACAATCTAATTGAAAAGGCAGTCACAGATAGAATCATGACATTAAAAACGTAAGGTAAACGCTGTTCTAGTGTTATAAAGCCAAACACTGTAGGAACACAAAGAAAACAACTGTGACTAGAAAACAAAAAAAAATGAAATTCCACCAAAGTTGAAATATAATTTTTATAGGCTGGTTGAATTTATGAAAGAAAACCAGAGGCAGATACCTGTCTGTTATATTTGGGAAATGCTGAGAAATCTGGTATGGTTAAAACATGGGATGAACAGAATCACAGAGAATCATACAAGGATAATTCAAAAGTTTATGGAAAATAGAATTAAAAATAAACATTTTGGTGCAATAATTTTTTAAACCCATGCAAATACATAATGGTAACAAGTTTGGATTTACTTTATAGATACTAGAGAGTATTTTGAGATAGGAAATTAAGTGGTGAGTGGGTGATATAGTTAGAATTATAGTTTAGATAAGAAGCTGACAGCAGAGTCCAGGATGAAATGAAGATTAAAAATTGAAAATATAAGCAGCATTAGCTTACAGGCTACTGTAATGGTCCAGGTAAGAAATAAAGTTGGCCAGATCCTGAAAATATAATTGAAAGCTAACTGGGTTAGCTTGAAAACATCTTCAACTGAATATAGATAAGCCATGAACATACCTTGAATACCTATAATTAATTTTAAAGAAACAACTAGATACATAGATACATTTCTGAAGAATCTATAAGCAAACAAAATTATGATGTACACTGTTGAAAACTGACTTGAAACATCACTACTTTATTGTGAGTTACTTTTATCTGTATTATTTAAGTATTAGCAAAATCCAACATGGGAATACTTAAAAATATTATATTAACTCTACTAATTATCTGCACATATGTTAAAAATTTTTGTTCTCCCAATGATCACCTAATAGACACCTCTAATCTTTTTATAATTAGCTAATAAACTTTCATATAATTAATTTTATTAGCCTGAAGAAACCAAGTGAAATCTAGTAAAAAGAAAAACCATCATGCAGTTAATTAGTATATTATTTGCTCTAATATACTAATCAGAGGCAATATTTATTGAGCACCTCCTAATTTCAAACCATGTTACCTTATTAAATTCTCAAAATCATCCTTCAAGACAGATAACAGTATTTCTAGTTAACAGATGAGAAAACTAAGAATCAGACCGAAAGGAACTTGCTTAACACCACTGGCAGTAACACAATTAATTACATTTATGGCCAATTTTCAGGAAACATATAATCTGTTAAAGACTGTGTTTTCACAACAAAGTTTGCTATTACATTCCTTTTTCTTAAGTTGTATGCCTATAAGCAGTAGTTTTATTTATATAAACATTACCGCTCTCTCCCTATAGTCCTTATCACTTATCTAAAATTTCTTGCTTGTGAATTTTAATGAATTATATATAAATGGGGAGATACAGTATTAATTATTACTCTATTATTCTGGAATTTAAAATGAGATAGCAGACACTTAAAAAGATATACCTATCGAGAAACAAACTATGAATTCTAAAAAACATATTTTTTAACCAACTTCATTAAAATTTTTGGCTTATAAATATAACCATAAATACAGGATGTTGTTACAATTTTAAATGACTATGTATTATAATAGTCAGTAACTTACAAGGTACTGAAATACAATATTCTTTCAAGTTTAGTACCTCTCCTAAGAACTGAGCTAATGGGTGGCTCCTTAGTTCAACTAAAATAAAACTATAAAAGTAGTATTATCCATTATATTACAGATTTATAATTTTAGCCAAAAGTCAAAAACACAGATTAAATAAATATTGAGGGGATTCCAACACTTAATCAAGCTCTAATATCTACAATATTAATTTATATTATAGAAAATCTGATAAATGTATCTTAATAGTAAGGGAAGGAACTATAAAGAAATAGACTATTAACAGATCTAGTATTTTACAGTTTAGGGACTGACACTCAAGCTTGAGAAGTAACTTACCCAAGTCATACTATTGTAGAACCAGGACCAATTCCCATACCTGACTTCTACTCTTGGCTCTTTGTTCTCTCTTTATGAGTTAACTTTTTTTAAGAGGTTTTAAAGGCAGAGTTACAGAGATGCAGAGGCAGAGAGACAAAGAGGTCTTTCATCCACTGGTTCACTCCCCAGATGGCTGCAACGGCCGGAGCTGCGTCAATCTGAAGCCAGGAGCTTCTTCCAGATCTCCCATGTGGGTGCAGGGGCCCAAGCACTTGGGCCATCTTCTGCTGCTTGCCCAGGCCATAGCAGAGAGCTGGATCGAAAGTGGAGCAGCCAGGTCTCAAACTGGTGCCCATATGGGATTCCAGCATTGCAGACGGCAGCTTTACCCACTACGTCACAGTGCCAGCCATGACTATTACATTTATTCACTATATTTTATATTTAATTTGGAAAAACCATCAAGTGATAAAAACTTTTTTCATCCAGCACAGCAACTCTTTTTCTCAAAACTGAGCATTACAAGAATAAGATGCCATTTATAATATCAGAAGACTTTCACTGCTTCATCAGTATTAGAATTTATACAGGAAAAAGTGCACTTTAATATAACTTCTGGTTTGGCTGGAAAAAGCTTATATACAAGTCATAGCTTTAAGCTTCTTTATATCATAGTAACTTCGTATGTTGTGAAATGGTTTTCTATAATCTTGACATTTTCTTCAGATAGCCAGTTTTCCTGTTTTAGCTGCCTTATAAGAGCTTCTAAAGATTTCAATCTTCCTAACATTTGTTGCTCTTGTAGCTCAAGAAGAGTTATCTTTGAATGTAGCTTAGAGACTTTCTGCCAAAGGTGTTCCTTATTCATGTCTTGTCTGCAGTAAGAATGCTCAATCTGTAAAACTTCTGTCCCATAGTCTACATCTTTATATAAGGAGTCCTCAACATCTACGTCTTCCATTTCCATTTCTTTTTGGGCAGGTGTAAAAGAATTAACTGCAAGTTTAGAGTTTTCTGTGGGTACAAAAATGGCAATAACAGATTCTTTATTTGTGTTTAATTCTTCAACTGTTTGATTAATTGTACTGAGTAATAATGGACTTTCCTGTGATTTAATTTCCATGGAATTATTTATGAGGGTTGGATTAGCAAGATGATTGGTAGTTATTTCAAGGACCTCTTGGGTTTCCAAAGGCTGCTGAATACCTTCTGAATTTGAAGTTGTCAAAGTAATAATTGTAGAATTTAGATTCTCAAAAGATGTGTGAAAACCACCTGTATCTGTATTCTGGTTAACTGATGTTTCCAAGATAGATTCTGGATTTTCAGTATCTTGTTTAACTAGATTAAGAGTTGGTAAGTTATTTTGTATGGTTCCTGTTTTTGGAGCTGGTGTGACCAAGGCAAATGAATCAAGCAGTTCTGCACGTTTAGGCAGCATACCTGTGTCCATATTTTTGTTTGCCACATTTGATGCAAAGGATTCTTCTGGCTTGGCCTTTAGGTATACTTCCTTCTCATTTTCTAATTTTTTTTTCTGAGATTTTTTTTTGAAAGGATCTTTTCCCTAGAAAATAATATTTCAAATTCTAAAAAAAGTTTTCCTTATAGACTTATTTTCTTACTAGTTAGTGCTATTTAACTATAACTTTAGTAGTATACTGGTCAAGCAAACTCATTCAGTTAACAAAATGTTTTAAGGATATAACAACTTTAATATACCCTAAAGTTTTTTCTTAAAAAGGCATGAAGCCTATTCAATATGTGAAACATTTCAGATTCTTCAAAAGACCAGAAAAAAGTTAATAAGTAAGTTAATAAATTTTATATGTTGTATCTTGCTTTTCTTAAACTGTACTTCATGACAGTTTAATTTTTTAAAAAAAAAATCACTTTACATAAATTAGTGTTCCCTATTAAATAGTTATCTTTCCTTCTCAATTTCTCTTCTCTACCTGATCACCTGCCACTCTGCAATTTGCAACCTGGCTCGAACATTAGGGTCCCTCATCCCCACTCCAATACCTCGTTGTCTTCCGGCAAGGAAAATATTGTTGGAACTGCAGTCTGTTTCAGATATCGAATACCCCATCTGATGTCAAGAGAGTCTGGTGTAAAGTGGTCACTACACAGGAACTGGTATTTACTGGGAACCCACGAATCTCGTTTCATATTCTTTAACCACTTTTCAAGTCTGTCTTTGTCATGTAAAGGAAACCTAAAATTAAAAAATAAAAAAGAATGAAGATGAAAACTTCGTTGTATTTTTACAATCTGTCAGATGCGAGGACTACACATTTAGGTAACTTACACATTAAGTCCTGCAAAAACAAGGCAATCATCTCTACCAAAACAGAAAATCTTCATGAAAACTACCACATTCTCTCTGCAATAAGAGGACTAAGAAACGATACACAGCCGCTGCTATTGTCTGCGAACTGCTTGTAAATATAATTCAATGTCCCTTCAAGTGAATTGTATGTGTTTCATCCTACCATTGGTAAAAATCTTTTAATATTTTCTATGAATTATGTTCCACTTTTACATTGTTGTAGTTTGTCTAGAACTAGGAAAGAGCTTTGTATGAACTACAAATTCCCAAGGTACAGCAGGTTAAGCTGCTCCCTGGGACACTGTATTCCATACTGGTGTGCTGGTTCTAGTCCCCACTACTCAGTTTCCAATTCACCTTCTTGCTAACACATCTATAAAGACAGCAGATGGTAGCCTGTCTCTCCCCTCCTTTCCTCTCTTTCCCACCTCCCCCTGTCACTCTGCCTTTCAAATATATAATTTCTTAAAAAGGAGTTTGAATCTTAACACTACCTTAAATTATAAACAGCACACCATTTGACTTGCAGTATTAGTAAAACACATTTGGATAGGAATTTGCCATTTTTTAGAGATACCTATTTATTTGAAAGGCAAAGAATGACAGATGAGAAAGCGAGAGATCTTCTACCTGCTTGTTCACTTCCCAAATGCCCTTTTTGCAAAAACCAGGGCTACGCCAAGCTGAAGTCAGGATCCTGGAACTTCATCTAGGTCTCCCACATGGGTGGCTGGAACCCAAGCACTTGGAGCATCTTCTGTCGCCTTCCCAGGAGCATTAACAGGAGGCTGGCTGTAAGCAGAGCTGTCAGAACTTGAAGTAGCACTCCGATATGGGATGCTGGCACCATAAGCAGTGGTTTAATCCACTGTGCCATGCGGCTCTTTTCATCTTAATATTTTTTTTTCTTGCCCTGGGATCCTGGAGGACATTTTCCAGTATATGCTTTCTTTACTATTCATAACCATCATCATTTGCTAATAGTTCCAGCAGCACTGATTTGAGATATCCACAATGTTGATTAAAGAAAATTGTGCATTACAGTGCCTTTGGAGCGAGAGAAAGAACTGATTTGGGGTGATATACCTCACTCCAATGCTGTTCCGTCATCTGGAAGTGTGCCTCATCACTGTTGTCATCGTCCTCATATCTATCCCAGAGGGTTATTATAAAGGGGGAAAAAAGAATATGCAAAGTCGCTGGCAGTTTATCAGCGTGGATGCAGTCAATTAAAGGCAGCCATTTAATCCTGAATAAATGTTCTTATAAAATGGCATTCTTGAAAGTCAGCACTCTCAGATTCACATCCATTAGGACACGTCAAATACAGCTTTGTTCAATAGCTGGATCTGAACAGCTCTTTCCCCAGGAGGGGCAGTGCAGTGTGAAGTGCAGAGCAACAGCTCTAGTGGTGACAGGTGGGGCTCTAACCCCAGCCCGCCCCTCACAACCAAGTGACCTCTGACTTTCCACTTGACTTACCTATGGGGAAGTTTCAACATCTGTCAAACAGCAATAACGGTAATTTCCTTCTCACTGAGCTTCTGTGAGGATTCAATGAGCTGACAGGTGCACCTGACACTCAGCAAATACTATTCTAAATTAGCTTTATTTACTTGCTAGCTGTATTTTGAAGAAAAACCAAAAAATTTAATAATAGTCATTCACTTGATACACATGCTAAAATACTGCTGTAGGACAATGATTGTTTAACAAAACAGATATTTTCAAGAAAAAGACTGCTATAGTACAAAAGGTTGATTTCCTTATTCAGAAACAACTAGGAAAACCTCTATTTTTGAAATGCTATCACTTTGAGAGGTCTTTTTGATAGAAGTACTTCTATTTTAAACAATAATAACTTCTTTTATTTCTTTCTCATTTGTGCTGTGTGATTTCCTTCATATGTCACGTAAGCCTTACAACATATTAATGCTTTTTAAACAAGAAGCTGTCAATTCAAACAAATGGGGTAGCTGAATAAAACTAACCCTCACAAAACTACAAATATTCCATTTTCTTTTCTGGCATCAGCCTCAATTCTACTCAAATGCAATGTGGGAAGGCCAAAATTCAAGTTCTGAAAGAGGAACTCTTATGCAGGAAAAGAATGAAACATGTTTAAAAAGGACAGATTCAGACACTTTAAATGAAATAAATAGAATAGGAAGAGAAAGACTCACTCCATATTCTGTTCCTGACATGGTGATAACCCATATGCAGAGACATATACATATGTCTCTAATGTATTGCAATGTGTTTTGTAGGCAACCTAGATTAATGGAAGAATGTGACAGCAAATCTTTCCCACCAGTTTCAGTAAGTTAAAGTATATTAAACAGCTGACGGTGGTTTGTATTTAATTTGATGATTTTTCAAGAATATAGTCCAGGACACAAACTACATATTAACTTCCTGTTTTTTAACAAACAGTAAGAATATAAAGTTTCTCATGGAAAAGATAGCTATGACACATCTCCCTCACCTTCTTCCCAATCATTTTGTTTACTTTGGAGCAGCATGATTTTTCCTCCTAAGTTTTGATAATTTTATAAAATGGCAGGGATATTCTGGGTACTTTGTAGGCAATAATTTTTAACCATGAGATTCTTATCTGGAAAAATCAATTATCTACCTTTGGAAGCTATGACCATAAAAACAATATTCAAACATGTTTTGAAAACATGTTAGCATGTAAGGGTGACAGGCATAAACAGAAAAGGCATTTATAAGGCAAAAAGAATTTTCTTTTTGGAGGACCTGAATTTTTTTAGTTAACAGGTGTAACTCCTGTTACACCTAAAATGTAAATATGCCCTTTACAATTCATTTTTTATGTAAGTTCACATTTAAAGATGTTATTTGCAAATTATTCCTATTGCACCTATATGCTGAGTTATCAAGCCATTAAAAATATATCTTGTGACCACCATTCTAACTGGATTACATGGTTTTCTCAACATGTCAATCATCTGGAAAATGTTTAGTAACAACTTACTATCTTTATATTGGTTCAATTTGGTAATTTTGTTTTACTGTCTTATGTAATCCCCCCCAAGCATAAGATAATCACAGTGAAACTGGACAATGCATGTATCTATTTACCACATTCCCAAGTCCATATAGATTTATACTACAGCCTGCTACAGTGTTAGCATGAGCAATTCAGTTTTCTGAAAGTTTGATACTGTTAGGGGAATAAAACTAATTCAACTTTTATTTTGGGGATTACATATGGAATTTTAAAATAAATTCTACTTTCACTAAATTCACGTTTTTAGGGCAAACATCTTCAGAATTTATTGTCATTCCTTCTTAAAAAAACTGTTGAGAAGCCTATGCAATCCAATTAGAAGGATGGTTTGGTAACTTAGCATATAGGCACAACAGAAATAAGTTGCAAACAACAATGATGAATTTGAACAACCACGGGCAAATAAACCTGGGAAGTATGGGGCTAAACAAATTTCAACGTGGTTTTCTGCTACAAACCTTCTCAGACTAGAAGACACCATCATAGCAGCATTTCTCTATCAGCTGGACCCTGGCTTAGATATTTCTCTGCCAACACCTCTTCTGCATCTTAGACAAGATCCTCACTAGAGACAGCCCAGGACGTACTGCCGTGCAGAGGGATGGAAGCAGCTGACAGTCATTAATGAATCAGGGCTTCGAGTCTAGTCACTCTCTCACAAAATAACCGGTGAAAACCGGGAGAAAGTAAGAAGCAGGGTTAGAGCTAAATAAATTATTTTTAACCCCCAAAGAGGAAGCGAGATATTTAAAATGAGTTCGTTCTCCTCTGTGTCAGCCCTGTGACTCGCACAGGTGCCTCTCGCACCAGGCATGATTGACGCGCTACTGACAGCTCCACTTCACGGGTGACAGCGGAAGCGCCCGGCTACAAAGCAGTGCCACCAGGATCTGAAACCACTGCAACCGGCTCCTCACTGCAAACACGGCTTCCCTGTGCTGAGCGAGCACACAGGAGACACCCGAACCCTGGCGAAAGGCCACAGGACCTTGAAGCGGACGCCGCTGCTCCCGGGACAACTTACGGGTAAAAACTCAGCTTCCGGTCTTTATCGTTCCGTCCCCGGCGATTCTTGCAGCAAACCGCAGCGCAGTAGCGCGGCATCGCTCGGCTGACTGAGAACCCGGGAGATCGGGCGGGCGGGCGGGCGAGGCGGCACGACCCGGCACTCCGAGACTAAGTCGAAGGAGCCCCTGCCGTCCAGGCCTACCGAGCCACTGCGCCTGCGCGGAGACCCTGTCATGGGAAAGCCGCAGCTACGGTCCACTCACTTCCGTCAGGGTTCAGCACCGCCCCCTTGGGGGCGGGGGAGGAAGTGACGCACGGCCTGATCGGCAACAACAGTTTTCCACGTGCGCGTAGCGCGCCGTGGTCAGGTGGGTAGGCAGCAGCCAATGAGGAAGCGTTTCGTGTAGGTCCTCTCCAGAGGTGGTGGCGCCAGCAACGGCTGCCCGCCAGAGAGGAGCGGGTAGCGAGAGGACGCGGCCGCGGCTGCTGAGGGAGCGCGAGGCCCGGGTGCCAGCGGCCGTGGGGAGGGTGCCGGCTCCCGGAGGTCGCGGAGGCCGCGGTGAGGGGCTGGGCCCCCCGAAGCCGAACGGAGCCGGTGGTCAGCTTCGCCTGCGCCTCCGCTCTGTGGAAGAGCAGCGGCCGTCGGAGGGTGCGGGTGAGGGACGAGGCCGGGGTCGCGGGGGAAGGGGGGGATTGGAGCGTCCCGGGGGCCCTGGCCTGTTTTTTGTTTTTTTTTTTTTGGTTTTTTTTTTTTTTTTTGGTGGGGAGACTGGGCCTCGGTGGCCGCCCAGGGCTTCGGCTTGCGTGTTCTTGACGGGAGGCAGAGAACGGAGATGGCGAGGCACAGAATAGTGCGTTTGGTGTTAGGGCTCTGCTGGTTAGCTTTCTAGGGCTTCGGGGCAGCCCCGACGCCGGGGCCTGGACGGACCGGGCGGGTGTCGGTCTCCTTGGGACGAAGGTGGGCCCGGCAGTCCGGGCCGCTCGGCTGGCCGATCCGTCGTAGGGGGAGAGATCGGTGTAAGGCGCCTTGGGCTCCCCGCCGCCAACGGCGGAACACGGCTTCCCAAAGCAGCAAGGTGCCCCTGTGTGTCCGTGTGAGTCCCGGCCGGCCGCCGGCCACGCTCCGTTCGTGTTCTTTAAACCCGAGGTTGTACTTGGTCCCCGTGACGATGAGTAACTCTGGCAAAAAGGAATGCACCTGCTAATTGAGCTCGGAAGAGGCCTCAGGAGAGGAAGGCAGGCAGTTTCCACTCACCAGAGTGCCTTTTCGTCAGCCTTGTTGTGTCATCATAGGTTATTAGGGAAGGGCCCTGGTGGCACAGTCGTTCAAAAACAGCCACCTGGCTTTGTCGCGTAAGTCATTGGGTAGATACAGGACCGTGAAATGTAAGGTAAAACGCCTTGAGTGGCTTCAGGGTAAGCGGAGTATTTTAATCTCTGAGAAGTTAAAGAAAAACAAAAAAACTTAGCCTAAAATACTCGACTGTCAAAATTTTTTTTTCTGACAGCCTTAGCAGAAATCTTCAATTTTATTCATTACGACTTTTGAACAGAACTTGCTTAACTCTGCATCTTTGTTAAAATTTGGGGGAAACGTGTTGCAGTATACTGTCAGTATCTGTATTATGCTGTTTAGATTCTCTGCTTGTAGTGCTTAACTTCCCTGATAGAGCAAAGCCTGGATTGTTGCCTTTTTGGGGAGGAGCAAAGATTAGTCATTTAGACATTTTGGGTTATTTACCTTGATAATTAAATATATTATTACCCCCTCAGAAAGTGACTTCTTGAAGATTGAAACCCTTTAAAATGTTTAGGTCGTTTACCTTTTTAACAACAATTCTTGCATATGGTGCATCTTCAATATTCACTGATAAAAATTTGATAAATTAGATATCAGAATGCCATGCCTTCTTCATGTATGGCCAGGGCGTTAGTGAAAAGCTGAAGCCAAGAGAGTTTTCTTAACTTGACTAAATTCTGATTGCTCAAAAGATTAGGTGGCCTTCAGAGTTACAAAGCCTATGTAAATGAAGTAACAGGAACAGGTGTAAGATACTAAGTTTAATTTTTTAATACTACATTATATTTACTTTGTATTCTGAAGATTCTTTTTTTTAAAGGAAAAAGTATTAAGATTAGCTTCGTGGGTAACCAATTTTTTCTTTTCCTTTTTAGGATTTGAGAGATGGCTACTCCCCAGTCAGTTTTCACCTTTGCAATCTGTATTTTGATGATAACAGAACTAATTCTGGCCTCGAAAAGCTACTATGATATCTTAGGTGTGCCAAAGTCAGCGTCAGAGCGCCAAATCAAGAAGGCCTTTCACAAATTGGCCATGAAGTACCACCCTGACAAAAACAAGAGTCCTGATGCTGAAGCAAAGTTCAGAGAGATTGCAGAAGGTAAGTAAATGACTCGGGGGTCTTGTAGGCATTAGATAGTAATAACAGTGATAGCTAAGAACTGTCTGTGTATTTGAAGGTTTTGTGGAGATAGAGAGCACGTGGGACTTAGATGTAATGAGATTCTCTGGAGTTTTTTTTTAATATAACTTTTATGCCTGAGTGAATGAATGATAGTTAATAGTTTTATTGACATACAGATCTAAAAATGTTGAAAAATGTCTTATTCTATTATTTTAAAGATTGCTTTTTGTATGTGAAAGGAATTTTTTTTAACTTTTATTTAATGAATATAAATTTCCAAAGTACAGAATATTGATTACAATGGCTTCCCCCCAATAACTTCCCTCCCACCTGCAACCGTCCCCTTTCCCACTCCCTCTCCCCTTCCATTCACATCAAGATTCATTTTCAATTCTCTTTATGTACAGAAGATCAGTTTAGCATACATTAAGTAAAGATTTCAACAGTTTGCACCCACATAAAAACACAAAGTGAACAATACTGTTTGAGTACTAGTTATAGCATTAAATTACAATGTACAGCACATTAAGGACAGAGATCCTACATGAGGAGTAAGTGCACAGTGACTCCTATTGTTGACTTAACAATTTGACACTCTTGTTTATGGCATCAGTAATCACCCTAGGCTCTTGTCATGAGTCGCCAAGGCTGTGGAAGCCTTTTGAGTTCACCGACTCTGATCATATTTAGACAAGGTCGTAGTCAAAGTGGAAGTTCTCTCCTCCCTTCAGAGAAAGGTACCTCCTTCTTTGATGACCTGTTCGTGAAAGGAATTTTACCTGCCCCAAATCCTTGTCAAATAATGTATGAAACACATGTTACACTAAGTATGTAGATTAAATATAAAACAATTAAAATATGCTCAGACACCTTATTGCTTTTTATTCATTTGATCTGCATTTCACAGCTGCATGGTCTGTGAAGGAAAAGTATGAAACAGATTTTCACTTGAAACTAGTTCTAAAGCGAACTGGTTGTCCAGAGCATTCAGTAATTGATGGGTGTAGGTAACTGAGTAAGGAGCTGGAATTAAATTTCAACTAGTAAGGAAGTAAAACATCTGAAATTCTATTAATTGGTTACATTTGATAATTTAGTTCTTTAAGAAAATAATGATTTTATACAGATGATACAAAGACTGAAGAATTCCATTTGTTGCCCACATACATAGCAATATATGCAGCAGTGCTAGCTTTTATTTAACAACAGTTTGTTGGATATTTAACTACAGGTGGCATTGAGCTAACTGTTGATAACACAGCAGACAACATGACAAAGTCCCCAACTTATTTTATAACTTTCATTTTAATATCCTATGTATGTAGCGTTTTGCTTTTATTTACGATGTGAAATCCTTTCCTATGGACTTGAATTCACTTATTTGAAGAGGTTTGAATAAATGTAATTTTGAATATTTTAGTTACTAAAGCATTTTTATCTTTTTCAGCTTATGAAACACTCTCAGATGCTAATAGGCGAAAAGAGTATGATACAGTTGGACACACTGCTTTCACTAATGGTAAAGGACAGAGAGGTAGTGGAAGTCCTTTTGAGCAATCATTTAACTTCAATTTTGATGACTTATTTAAAGACTTCAGTTTCTTTGGTCAAAACCAAAACACTCAGTCCAAGAAGCATTTTGAAAATCACTTCCAGACACACCAGGATGGTTCCAGTAGACAAAGGCATCATTTCCAGGAGTTTTCTTTCGGAGGTGGACTGTTTGATGACATGTTTGAAGATATGGAGAAAATGTTTTCTTTTAGTGGCTTTGACACCACAAATCAGCACACAGTACAGACTGAAAATAGATTCCATGGATCTAGCAAGCACTGCAGGACTGTCACTCAACGAAGAGGAAATATGGTTACCACATACACTGACTGTTCAGGACAGTAGTTTGTTGTTTTTCTGTTTTCATTAAATTCAACTAGTTGACTCCTCCTCAGTGTCTTTGAGGCAAAGCAGTTTTCTGTGAACTATTTTTGACAAGTGCATGATTTCACTTAATTTAAGCAATTTGATATGGTGGTTAAATGTATTTAAATTGTTTTTGACAAATTCAACATTCAGCAGTAGATAAAATCTAATTATTAATTTCGCTAATTAGGAAACTTTCTTTCTAAAAAGAGTTCTGCCTGGTCCTTTTTTTCTACATACTCTTGGGCTCACTAATGTGGCCAGTTTTATTACCAAAAAAAAAAGAATTGAGTTTGCCTAATAACATAAGACTAAACTTTGAGAGTTACTGTACATTTAAATTGTGTGAACTTGAATGATTTTTGCAGTGAAACCTTTGCTAATTTTAAATTGCATGCTCTGTAGCATCTGTGACGTGAGTTGCTAAACATACATGGAACTGTATAATTGTGTCAGCAAAGGAAAGCAGTATCTTGGTTAATTGCCAATGAAAGCTTTAGAAAGGGAAGGTTTATTGTTTACCACAGAACCATGCCTTTCTATAGTAAGACTGAGGTAAAGTGACTGTATAGCTCGTTGTCATTTAGGCTGAGAAAAGTTGCAAACTTATGAAATATTGCCGAGAGACAGTTATGTGTTTGGTCCCTGGCTAATGATTTTATAATGTTGAAATCATGGCAACTTAGACACCTTTTCACATTTCTTTCTTAGTTGTTGGCATTCTAGGTCTTAATTTGAATTTATGTGTTTTGTGTGTGTGTGTAGTTCCTCTACTTTGCACTTGTCTTTATCTAGAGATTGACTAATACCTCATTCTGTTTGTAAAACCAGCCAGTAATTTCTGTGCAACCTTATTATGTGCAATATTTTTAAATCTTAAAGTGTGCTTTAGTTTTCAGATAGACTTATTTCTTTAGTTCTGCACTTTCCACATTATACTCCATTTGAGTATTAATCCT